GAGTGCTTGACAACCAACCTGTACAAAAGATTCAGTATTACGGCTGCTCATCCTCTAGAAGGACACAAATCGATTCAAACAAGTTTACGAACCAAAACAAGTGATATTGATAAACCATTACCTGATATCCCCAACTGTTCCTTTATCTTCTCCTTTTTATCACCCTTAAATGTTTCATCACTGTCAATAACTTTCTTAACATTATCTTGTATAAGCTCCGAATCATCATCCCATGCATCTTCTCCAACGTAAGAAGAATCTTGAACAAGGGTCCCATCAGTTCCTTCAATAAATTTCTTTATTTTCAGACCTTTGGGCGTAGTTCTCCTCCATAAACCTTTCTTTAACCTGCACATTTCGGTAAAAAGGCCAATTGTTACTTGCAAGGTAATGGATTTAGCTGAGAACAATCAAAATGAATCACTATCAATTCCAGCACTTCTAATCAAAGATGGTCGTCTTCAATCTGTAAATTTCTGATAGATTCCAATAAATTTAAAAGAGGAAATATTTCACTGACATTACAGAAGTATTGTGTCAATTTACTCTTCCTATGCTACAGAACAAAGAATGTGAAAATGTCTCAAGCTAGGTTGACTACTATTAGATTTCAAAATCCCCCTTTGGCATTGTGTTACCCCACCTTTACAGACTTTCTCATTGTAAAGAGGTCGTGATTAAAGAGGTTTGAAACACCAACAGCAGCTTTTGGATCCCTTAGACTTGGGAGGAATTTGAAAGATGAAGAGGCTTTGGAGTGGGCCAATCTTAGCCTTGACCTTGTGCTGATTGTTCTCTCACAAACAGAAGACACATGAAGATGACTTCTTAATCCAAGTGGCCACATCTCTACCAAGTCTATATTATCCGGGTGACTCCATGAACTTTTTGGGGACATTTTTGGCATACCCAAATAAGATCAAATTTTTTCTACGGGAAATGTCTCATAGAGCCATCAGCAACAAAGATGTCCTCCAAAGGTGCAGGCCTGTCTTGGCCATTTCCCAGGGTGGAGTTCTTTGTGTAAGGTGGATGATACTAGACCACATATTCATACATTGTCTGTGATATGAAATAAGGTGTCTTAATCATGCCACAAAAATTTCATGGTGAATGACAAAATCCATATATGTTGTTTAGATTTAAGGAGGCTTTATTGTATTTTTTAAGTTTTAGAGAATTGTCTTTAAGATTATAAGTTACAATTAGCAAGTGACCATTATGGTATTGATGGTCATGAAAGTTACAACATTTCAATTAACCATAGGGTACTAAAAGGTTTATTTTCAAGATTATAAATAGTCATTCATGTTGTTGCTTTAAGTATGAAGATTTTAGATATTATAATGAAAGTTAGCATATTATGCTTCTTAAGCCATGACCTTGTACATTTGCATTTCTTGTGTTTAGATTTGCATGCTACAGTCATTCAAGTAGTCTTGATCAAGCTATCTTGTGGAGTGATTCGAATCACGAGTTTAGAAATGAGTTTTCTTTACTCTTGATCTTGATCATCAAGATAATCCATTCCAAAACTTTCCTTTGGGTTGATTCCTTATCATTTTTTGGGGTTCTTGGATAATTTAGATCTAAAAGTCTTGTTCTTTAACAAAGTTGTTAGATCAAATCCTAAGAGTTTCATAATAGTCCGTTTGCTTGAAAGTTTTGGACCAGTATTTTTAGTTCATTCAGTTGGTATTTGGCTATTCCTAGAGATGTGAAGGACCTTCTCAACACTGTTTTGTTGGGTCACCCTTTAAGAATGCTAAGGTTTTGTTGTGGATGCACATCACCCGAGCCTTCTTTGGGTTTTTTGGAAGTAAAGAAACCAAAGAGTTTCTTGGAAAAAGATCACCCCTAGGGTTCTTCCATCTTGTTATTTATTATTATGTTATATCTTGATGTAAAATCTAATCATTGCTTTCTACAATTATGCTTCCCTATTAATCAATTGGGAATGCTTTTTGTCATCATCATGGATTATCCACCCTTTCTGTAAATTTCATACATTTATGAACTATAAAAATAAAAATAAAAATAATAATAAACTAGATTTCAAATATATATATCTTCGTTTATTGAAGCTTGAAATCAAGCTCCTTGCTGAAGGAGAGGATGAAAAAAGGCAAAGGAATCATTACGATACTGATATTGATCTATATACCCAGAGACAATATCTTTAACTTAACTTCTTTTTTCACCCTTTAACTAACATAATCTAATGTATTTTGTATTTACATCCACGTTGATGAATCCTAGGCTTCATTACAAATGAATCATGCAGCACCAATTACAGTTCTAATATTCTGTCTTCATCAGATAACCGTGAAGCTCATAGACTTCTGCATGCATATGGGTGCAACTTTGGCTTTGTTATATAACAAATAGGCAGCGGAGAGCAACAATACTCAGAATTTGATGTGCCACATGAAAGTATAGGTATGTTTGTTACTTGATATAAGGTTTGGCAGTTGGAAAATATAAACTGAAACTCACTTTCTAATATTAGAAGGAGATGGCTCAGGAATCAATGCCTCCATATAAGCCTCCGTTAGCTGTTTTCTTTCGCGGTCTACAAAAGGTGCTCGAACTACCATATGAATTCTTTGACAATAACTAATTATAACAAAAGCAAAGAGAAACAAGGCACCAACTCGTTTTGGCTCCCAGTTCTTGAGATCCTGAAATCATAGAAGAAGAAGACAACAGCATTGTCTAGCTTATTCAAAAAGAATGGCAGATGCATAGAAATTGAGGAAATCTATAGGGAATAATTTTAAATTTCAATCGCTTGAGCATTTTCCATAATCAAAATGTGAAGTTCTCTTTCAATTGCTGTAACTTCATTACCTACTCGATAGCAAAATGTTCGTAGATAACATCATTTTAGCAGATAAAATTGCTTTAAACAATAAAAAAATAAAACTTAATAGTTCACCTTACAAATGGAAAAGAAAGAACAGCTGCTTTCTTCACAAACAATAAGGAAGTTTCAAACAATTACTAAACTGACTCAGAACTTGCTGAATCTTCTTGCACTATTCTTTTAGTCAATTACAATCATAATTATTGATACGAACCTTTTCCACATAATTCACATAAATGGGAATCTTTTGTTACAATAAAAGTAGAAGTGATGTGGATTATTCAAGAATCGAAGTCGAGTTGCTTTATAATTATAAGATATCAATAAACTTCTATGAAATGGTTTTCCGGGATTTAGCCAATTGTCTTGATCATGGGATATCATTGAGAAATAGGAATCCGTGTTATCAAAGAATCTCCTAGGATTATTTCTGGAATGAGTCAATCACCGACGTCCTTAGGAATTAAGAACCAGACCCACGAGATAATATTTCACGATGAGTATCTTTAAAACAAAGAAGATTAGATTAAATTGAAAGATTACCTTCCAACGCTCCCAACTGTTCCAGTTTACAAATTCCGGCCATTTTTCAGTCTTAAACCTCTCCAGTTCAGCTCCTATATTATCTAGCCGTTCATTAGCCTTCCCAAAAATCTCAGCCAACTTCACATCAGTATTTTTCAAATCAAACCCAGTTTCCTTTCTCAAAGACTCGCCAAAATTCAACCAGAACCTCTCGGAGCCGCGACGAACTGACCTACTGAAACTTCCCCAAGGGGACCCGTCAGCTCCATTACCATCAGCGGATCCTAGAACTCGAAATTTCGTCCTCTGGCGGGAGTTCTTAGCCCGGCGCCAGGCTGGTATAGTGAAAAGAATGCCATTTCGAGATCCTTGGAGGAACGAAGTTGACGGAGAGACAAGCTTGTTCGGTCTGAAACGGGTTGAAACATCCATATTCGAAGAAATTGAGTTCGGGTATTGGAAGATAAGCTGAAAATTGAAATGGAATTGGTTTTTAAAGGTTCCGCAGGGTTTAAGCGAGGGGTTTACACGATGAACTAAAATGCACAGTGATGAAGCTAAAGCTCCATCTCTTCACTGTTCAGCCCTGAAAATCGATTAAGACGAGAAGCTACAGAACTTTCATGGTTCTCTTGCCGTTTGCACCGTCGTTTCCAAGTGATTTTTTGCCGGCAGGATAGCTTTGTGCTGAGTAATCTGATTGTAATTCCAGTAAATCGACCGGACCCGCCGATCTGCGTCTGGATTATCTGGGGATTTGGATTTGGATTCAGTGCCTTCATGGGCCGATTAAATTGGGCCAACCTCCTGACGGTTTCTTAGAATCAGGCCCATGTTGGGCCCGAGTGACGATCCGCGAAGAGTGTAATATATTTCTTTTAATATTATTAATTAAACAAAAACAATGTTTTTCTTGTTTATTAAAAATGAAAAATATTTATTTTTTTTAATTGAAAAATATTTAAAATTTTAATTGGAAATATGAAAACAAGAGAATTATGAAAATAACGACTCCCTCCCTTAACTCCTAATCTCTTGCACGTGTCGGTAGCTAGTGCTAATCAAGTACATTGTCATACAATCCTCATAAGCATATAGAACTTCTAAAGCTGTTGTAGTCATTGATAAGAGAAACAACCGTAATGATCTATAGGTACGAGAATATGGAATACACCATATTTTGTTGCATCATTTGTAGATGGGACCTGACGAGATCAATCGGTTCATTTTGTGAGATTTAACGGTAGTAACACCTTACGGTAGGGGTGTTTGTGGGTTAGGTTGGGTCAGGTTGAAACCTTGACCCAATTAAATTCTGGCAAATATAAATTTTTTTCGTCCAACATTTTAATGATCATTTATACTCTAAAGTTAACACATTAAATTCCGAACAAAATTGGACCTAGTTGCTATCAACATAAACAACGGAATTACTACAAAAAGTAGAACCCATGACTCAATATTGACCTCAAAATTATTTCAATCATATCTAATGATGTTATAGTTACTCAAAAAATTGGAGTGGTCAAATTGTTTGAACACATGAACCTAGTTCGTCCCATGGATCGTTAACCTCATCCCAACGATAAGAGAATTGAGTGATCGAAGCTACAAATGATTATAGCCCATTCGTTTTCACTGTTCTTCTGGTTCATATCTCCCATTCAATCCCTCCCTCCCTCCACAAATCATCGTCGTCCTCCCATTTCATCCTCATAAAAGACGCCCCCAGATCGCCAAATCGCCCTGTTCTCCATTTCTGCTCTGCTTCATCCATGGCTTCTGCAGCGTCCCGCACCACTTTCCATCTTCTTCCCACCAAATCCTCTACCACTTCTTCAACCCGCTCTGCCCTTCTTCAATTTTCGCCCACCGCCGCTTCCTCTTCCTCAATTCGCCTTCGCGCCGCTGCAACTCAGCGCTTAGGTTTCGCTGCCGCAGACCCACTTTTCTCCCTCCATGTGGCTTCCAAGATTCGGTCGTTTGGGGGCAAGGCCTCGAGGGGTGTGGTGTCCATGGCCAAGAAGAGTGTTGGGGATTTGACTGCGGCTGACTTGAAGGGGAAGAAAGTGTTCGTGAGGGCTGATTTGAACGTGCCGTTGGATGATAATCAGAATATTACTGATGATACTAGGATCAGAGCTGCTATCCCTACGATCAAGCATTTGATTGAGAAGGGAGCTAAAGTGCTTTTATCCAGCCATCTGGTGAGTGTGCTTTTGGAACTTCTAAATTATGCCTTTACTTTATCTGTATCTGTGAATTGATTCATGAATCTGGAAGATGGTAGATATTGAACTGTTTGAGGTGATTGATGGGTTGGTGATTTCGTTGATCCAAGTGACATTCTCTTGATTAATGGAATTTGTAGTGAAGAGGTTAAGGGATGTTAAATGTGTTTCTGATTAGCAATTCTTGGAAACTTGAGAATTGTGAGATCCCACGTGGGTTGGGGAGGAGAACGAAACATTCTTTATAAGGGTGTGGAAACCTCTCCCTAGGCGTGTTTTAAAAATTTTGAGGGGAAGCCCAAAAGGGAAAGTCCAAAGAGAACAATATTTGCTAGCGGTGGGCTTGGGCTGTTACGAATGGTATCAAAGCCAGATACCGGGCGATGTGCCAGCGAGGAGTCTGAGCCTCGAAGGGGGTGGACAAGAGGCAGTGTGCCAGCAAGGATGTTGGACCCCGAAGGAGGGTGGATTTGGGGGGTCCCACATCGATTAGAAAAGGGAATGACACTAGCCCCGAAGGGAGTGGATTGTGAAATCCCACATCGGTTGGGGAGGAGAACGAAATATCCTTTATAAAGGTGTGGAAACCTCTCCCTAGCAGGCGCGTTTTGGAAGCCCAAAGAGGACAATATCTGCCAGCGGTGGGCTTGGGCTGTTACAACATTGTTCCTTCTATTGATATAGTATTTGAAGTCCACTGTTTTATGCTGCAGAAGCTTGTGAATATGTCGTTAACTATGGAAATTTTCAGGGACGACCAAAAGGTGTGACTCCAAAATACAGCTTGGCACCTCTTGTGCCTAGGCTGTCTGAACTCCTTGGCATTGAGGTACATTTTTCTTCCTCATGATCTTAAAGAAGGGTTTCTCTCCTGTATTTGGTTTTCAATTATTGCCTCCAGGTGATCACTGAACGTTTCTGTGTGTCATATCCCATCAGGTAGTGAAGGCTGATGACTGCATTGGTCCCGAGGTCGAAAAATTGGTCGCTTCCCTGCCCGAGGGCGGAGTTCTTCTCCTTGAAAATGTTAGATTCTACAAGGAAGAAGAGAAAAATGAGCCAGAGTTTGCAAAGAAGCTGGCTTCTCTAGCTGATCTTTATGTGAACGATGCATTTGGAACTGCCCACAGAGCTCATGCTTCAACTGAGGGAGTCACCAAGTTTTTGAAGCCATCCGTGGCTGGTTTCCTCTTGCAAAAGGTTGGATTCTTTCATAAATCTTATATCTACTTGTTACCTGCGAAAATGTTTTATATTACTACACATTATTCGTTTTTCGTTTTCAACGTTCTTGAACTATAATTGGTAACTGGCTTCATTTGTTCATAGCCTCCAAACTTCAGTTCTTTATCCCAAATAATGCTTGGCCTGATGTTCATCATGTTATTCTTTTCCGATGTCGAACGATCTTTAACTCTGCAAGTAATTGCTTTAGGAACTCGACTATCTAGTGGGGGCCGTGTCAAGCCCAAAGAGACCATTTGCTGCTATTGTTGGTGGTTCAAAGGTCTCATCAAAGATCGGAGTGATCGAGTCACTTCTAGAAAAGTGTGACATCCTACTTCTTGGTGGTGGTATGATCTTTACATTTTACAAGGCACAGGGACTTTCCGTTGGTTCGTCTCTGGTTGAAGAGGATAAGCTAGATCTAGCAACCACGCTCCTCGCGAAGGCCAAGGCGAAAGGAGTATCCCTTCTACTACCAACTGATGTCGTCATTGCAGACAAGTTTGCTCCCGACGCAAACAGCAAGGTTTGTTTGTAAATCTTGGCTCTTAGATCTATTTCTCAGACCTGCAGTGCTATAGAAACACAACTTTCTGAACTTTTGTTGATCGATTCAAATCATTGCTTTAACATAATTACCAGTTTTTCGATGATTTCACACTTTTTTAGAAACTTTACGAATGCGTTATACGGATCGGAGAAATAAAGAACGTACTTTTTGCATTGCAGATCGTCCCTGCATCTGCCATCCCTGATGGATGGATGGGACTCGACATTGGACCAGATTCTGTAAAGACATTCAACGATGCTTTGGACACTACCCAAACTATCATCTGGAATGGACCGATGGGAGTGTTCGAGTTCGACAAGTTTGCAGTCGGAACGGAGGTAAGAAAAAACTTCTCCATGGCCATAAAATTTCACTTTACATTCATTTTCATACTTGGGAAACGATATACCTGTTAGAAATCACGAACCTCCACAATGGTATGATATTGTCTACGTTGAGCGTAAACTCTCGTGGTTTTGCTTTTGGTTTCCCCAAAAGGCCTCGTACCAATGAAGATAGTGTTCCTTACTTATAAACCCACGATCATCCCAAGATTCCTCCCAATAATACCGACCTTTATATATTTGTTATAATGCTGAAACTCTGTGAGATCTTGAATACATGCCGTACTCCAAGGCGCTCGATTTGTTTGGTTCATCAAAGTATGTCATGATAGAAACATAAAAACCGATGTAGTTCAATGTGTGCACCGTACATATAGCAGTCGTGTTTATGTGGTCTGTATCAATTCAACAAATGCACTTGGTTGCAGGCGATCGCTAAGAAACTCGCGGAGCTCAGTGGAAAGGGGGTGACGACCATCATCGGCGGTGGAGACTCGGTTGCAGCTGTGGAGAAGGTAGGAGTTGCGAGCGTCATGAGCCACATTTCGACTGGAGGTGGTGCTAGTTTGGAGTTGTTGGAAGGCAAAGAACTTCCCGGCGTCCTTGCTCTTGATGAGGCCGTACCCGTTGCCGTGTAGGTGATCGGTATGGATTATTCGTTTACATTTTTTTCGCCTCCCATCTCAATTGAATGCTTAAATTGCAATGTGTAACAGAGAAATATATTGTTGTAGAGAAGATGAGTTTTTGTAGTTTAAGTGGTAACTTGAACTGTTGCTCCCTTTCTGTCTCTGCATTTGAATTCCTCTTTGGCTGCTGGGAACAGACTATAGGGATAACCACTGTTTTAAAAGTTGTAATAAATTTGTGCATGAACGTCCATTTTCCCCTCTGATGTTTTCAATTTTTTCACCCGAGCTACCAAAAATACTTAGGAATCCGTTCAAATATAAAGGTGGAGGGATTCAAACCTTTAACTTCTTCGTCAAGACTCGAATTAGGAATCCGTTCATGTATAAGGGTGGAGAAATTCAAACCTTTAACTTCTTTGTCAAGACTCGAGAGTATATACTTAGGAGAGTATATATGTTAACTAGTTAAGCTATATTTTGTTTGACTGATTTAGTTGACTTTAAACGAGTTTTTTTTATTTACCTTTTTCGAATAAGCTTATACTTTTCGTTAGTATTTAAATTATTCTTTAGGTGTTCTTTATATTAAAAATATTGGTCGGCATTTTGTTGGTGGAATTTTTTATCTTTTAATTAAAAAGTATGCCAAAAGAATTTATTCTTCAACTTTACTTTGTGACGAGTAAAAAGATGTATTCGATAGGTAGTGAATTTTTATCTCAACTTAAACCACCCGATGTCACATAAGGACAATAATTACGGATCTTCAACCATAAGGTCATAGATTCAACTGTCTATCTTGCATTTGAACATTTGAATATTTAATCTCTGGGTCGTTAACATGTCATAAGTTGATCTCACCCAACATGTACATTGTTAAACGAAAAAAAACTAAGTACGATTTGGAGTATACATTAATTTTGTTGGAGAATGGGAGTGTAACCTATTTTAGCTTGTTCATGTAACAGTTCACGTCCCCTTTAGCCTATTATGTGTATAGAGAGAAGTTTGCCACATCTATTATAAGTAATGTTTTGTTCCTCCTCTCCATGGGAATTACTCATAATTAAGCGTTAAAATTTTAATGATATTTCCAAAAAATTTATATTTATTAGCAAAATATTAAAAAAAAAAAAAAAAAAAAATTCTGTGGTCCAAGGTACAGACGGGTCAAAGGGCACTTATCAGGTGGCTATTGAAGGACTTGGAAATTTTGATTACGAGCACGTGCGTATCGTGTGGGGTTGTTTGCAATCCCACCCACCCATTTCTACCAACCAACTCCGTCCGGCTCGGAACGGTCTGAACCGGACGACCTAATAATATCATTTATCTTTTAATAATTATTGGATGTAAATAAAAAATATGATATAATATTTATATTTAATAATTCAAAACTCTCAATTTTATAAATTTTAATCAATATCAAAATAAAAGTATTTATTAATTTTCCCACGTGGCTTTCTTTTCCTCGGTACTGGTGATCGGCACCGGCGATACGGCGGCGTATCACCACCTACCACGTCAACAGCATCGCATTTGGCATATTATAATAACGAAGCCCGAAGACTTTTAAAACCTGTCATTTCGATTCCGTCTCACAGTTTCGGCTAGGGTTTTTCTTTCTTTTCTCGTGCGTGTCGTCATTTCTTCTTCGATCATCGAAGCTCTACGACGATGGCCTTCTCACAATCCTTTGCTGGATCTGCCGTTTCTTCTTCTCTGATCGATGCCTCTCGTGCTGAGTCGTCGTCGGTCCACTGCCGGAAGGTTGATCTTCTTTTATGGATTATCACTTTTTTCTTTTTTAACGATGGACTGGTTGTTGTTAACTGGATCATTAATAAGGGACACTGCACCCTACTTGATTGGCTGCTCCAGTCCTGATAAATATATTTGTAGTTAATGTTGACTAGTATAGATCATAGCTGTGTTTTTATTATTGTATCTTTTGTTGTTTGGTGTTTTTCAGTTTTTCTCATTTGCCTTGCGTGTGTTGTGTTTTTTTGCTTGTTTCTGCAGGGGAGCTCTTTAAAGCTTCAATCTGGTGTTTTTGGAACTACTATCTCGAGTGGGACGTCTTCTTTACAGATAGGGTGAGCTCTGGCCTTTAGCGAACGTATTTTTCAAATAGTTTTTTAAGCACTATCCATTTAGATGAATTGCGTACGTTTACATATTGGATGGTTGAATTTATTTGCTAATTTACTTGGTAATTCTTAAATGTGGTTGGCAGGTTATCTAAAAATCGAGCTATCCAACCCATCAAAGCTACGGCCACCGAGGCACCTCCGACGGTACAAAGTAAGTTTTTATTTTCTTTGTTTCCCCTCCAAGGAACGTCGATATGTTTCAGTTTGTCAGTTTCTGACCATTTTATTATTGTTCCTCTTTTTTCTTTTTCCCTTTATGGGTTTTGTTCAGGAACTCCGAGCGGTGGGAAGACCAAGATTGGAATCAATGGTACGATCTTTTAGTGTACTTCTGTGACTATTTCATTCAGTAGATTCACATTCTGATAGTAAGATATGTGAATTTGATTGCTGATAGTAGTTAGTGTTATATACAGCCGACTGCCTTCTATCGTGTACTCTTTCAATAACTACAGTCTCAATGATGTTTGTTTGATGGTTAGTTTCATAGTGTCTTGACAACTTCCTAGGTCTAGGAGTTATATCTGTATGGTTCTTAGTCTTTGCTGTAAGGCTAGAAAATATCTCCGGAGCCTAACAGTGTTGGTGTGGGCAAGTGATACACGATTGGATAAAGAATGTTCCACACTTAAAGTTGTCACTTAATAACAAATAACGAAATGGGAAAAATTAGATGAACAGGAATATTAAGCTTAGACTTCAAAGAACGACCCTTGTGCTTTTGAAAATGTAAAATAGTATCAGAATAACAAAAGCAAGATCTATGGTTCTCATTGATGTGCGTGATTGAATGAGGTTACATGCCAACCCTGCATGTTGTACCTCTTTCAGAGCTAGGTTTCAATGTTATAGGAATTCATATCAAGTCTTATCTTTGACTGTTTCATTGTGTCGGGAAATATTCCACACTTTCACGAATTGATTGTTCACCATTTCAAGAAAAGTGTCTATAATTGTAAGCTTTTGTATTTTGATTCTGGAAGATAATCTATTGCATATGTTATATAGTTTTTTTGCTTTCTATATGATTGGTCAACTTATTTTTCCTCTTTTATCGATAGAGTTCTACTGCTTGTTGATTTATAGTAACGTTCATGACAATCTAGAAATTTTTGTGATGACTCACTATACAGGTTTTGGACGAATTGGAAGACTGGTTTTACGCATTGCAACCTCGAGGGATGATATTGATGTTGTAGCAGTTAATGATCCATTTGTTGATGCTAAGTACATGGTATGCATTAGTTTATTCAATGATCTTTTTGGATTCTAAGTACATAGGATATTTCAAATTTGTTTTTAAGTACATGGTATGCATTAGTTCAGGTAATGATCCATTTGGATTCTGTTATCCAGGCTTACATGTTCAAATACGATTCTACTCATGGTGTTTTTGATGGAACCATCAAGGTTCTTAGTGATTCAACTTTGGAAATTAATGGGAAGCAGATCAAAGTTGTAAGCAAAAGGTAAAAACTGAATATTTGCTTCTCTAGAATATTATAAAGTTATAATTAGTGTACTGAGTAGTTTGACCTGTAAAATTCTTGCGACTTCGTTCTGTATGCTTTCAGTTGATTCTATAGTAACAAGGCTCCTTTAGGGACTGATTCTTGTGATTCTTTATGCTCAGGGAGCCTGCAGATATCCCTTGGGGTGATTATGGAGCTGAATATGTTGTCGAGTCCTCGGGAGTTTTCACTACAAAAGACAAGGCTTCAGCACACTTGAAGGTTCTGTTGATTGCTGATGGATCTATCTCTCCTGTTTTAATTTCTCGCTTTACCCTTCCACTTGATGTCTTTGAAAACCAAGTTAACAATTTATTACTTTTCCCTGCAGGGTGGTGCTAAGAAAGTTGTAATCTCAGCTCCATCAGCTGATGCACCTATGTTTGTTGTTGGTGTTAATGAAAAAACTTACAAGCCGACAATGAATATTGTTTCCAACGCAAGTTGTACTACCAATTGTCTTGCACCTCTTGCAAAGGTATAAATGAAACCCCTGAACGTGGTCCAGTATTTTGGAGTGTTTCTTGAATTTTTATGTACTGGAGTTTAGAGTAGACATATATCTGATTTTCTCACCATCTTAATACAGGGATATAGTTCCCGGGTACCTGACTTGAATTGTGTGCTATTTCATGTAGGTCGTTCATGAGGAATTTGGTATTGTTGAAGGTCTAATGACAACAGTGCATGCAACGACAGGTCTTTCATTCTCTCACTCTCTCAAACTCTTTACTCATGTGTGTAAATTGTGTTCTTTCATTTTATTTCAGCAACACAGAAGACTGTTGATGGCCCTTCAATGAAGGATTGGAGAGGAGGCCGTGGTGCTGCACAAAATATAATTCCTAGCTCTACTGGTGCTGCCAAGGTATGTGGCATAAAATTTTGATAAATCTTTATGGTTTTATTTTAATCAATTGAAAAAGTCTTGGATTTTTTTTTAAAAAATAACTGCAGGCTGTTGGTAAAGTTCTTCCAGAGCTAAACGGAAAACTTACTGGAATGGCTTTCCGTGTCCCAACACCCAATGTATCTGTTGTTGACTTAACCTGCCGACTTGAAAAGAGTGCTACATATGAAGATGTAAAGGCAGCAGTAAAGTATGACTTGCCACCCAACCAGTGTGCCTTTCGTTAAGTTTTTCCCTGTACAACTAAAGTATTTAATATGATTGATGACGAGTTCGCAACTCTTTCAACTCTTTTAAAGGTATGCATCCGAAGGTCCATTGCAAGGCATTCTTGGATATACAGATGAGGATGTTGTCTCTACTGATTTTCTCGGTGACTCGAGGTACGACTTTTTCCAGCATATCCCGACTCAAATTATGTGGGGGGAAAGTAGAGCAAATAACATATCAAATATGGTTAGTATTTTTCAATTGGGAGTCTGAATCACATGATTTTATTGTTGCAGGTCTAGTATATTTGATGCAAAGGCTGGAATTGGTCTCAGCACCTCATTTGTGAAGCTGGTGACTTGGTACGACAATGAATGGGGATACAGGTATTCTCTCCCTCTATTTCACACATTTCTTACATAATTCTGGGGATGGTCATGAATAACCGATGTTCGTCTTTTCAGCAACCGAGTACTGGATCTTATTGAGCACATGGCATTGGTTTCAGCCTTGAACTAAATGATAGAAGAGACTCGTCATCGACAAAGCCCCCAGCAGTTTTTGATTGAAGTGAGATAGGCGTCTATTTTTTCTTGGAATGGATTCATTCAGTTGTTTATGTAGGAAATTAGTTATTCGAGCAATGAAATAAAGAAATATTTGACATGTAAGAGTTCATTCTTCCAGTTAAACATATCTGGAACCCGGCAGATTCAATGCAGGTAACTATGGAAGAACATTTCCACTATTTATCCTGTGTTTCAACTTTCATTGTATTTGACTATTTTGTTCCCACTGTGTTTGATTAAATTATAAGAAGATTTAACAGCACAAATCAGGATCAAAGTGCGTCTCCCAGTGGTAGCAGCACTGTTCGAGTTTTCAATTTCTGTTTTCCCTAAACTGCTTCCCAGTTTAATTTCCACGAATTCTTATACAGTTTCTTGGAAGGAGTTTCCATGAAATTTCCCAAGTATATTTATACTATGAACTATCGTAATATTCCTTTTTTAAAAGTGGGATATGCTTCTTTGTATTTTAAAATAGAGGAATACGAACCTTCCTTATTGGACGTTGAAGCTTTGAACCAGACTTCCTTCCATAGATTAAACACCAAAGAAACCTTCAGAAAGATTTGAAAACAATCATTATATGCCGAAGTTGAAAAAAAGCATCGATTATTCTGTTATACTTGCAAGAAAGCACGTGAAATCCTACAAAGCAATTCCCGAAACCCCAAGTATTTCAATTATTTAATGCAAAACCTTCAAATCACCCCTTCCGACCCTTTCCATGCCCTTGTTTACTGAATCCACTTTCCTCTATTATATTCAACGTCTCCAACTTCCTCAGCAACACTGCACCATTGTCTTCCCCTTTATAATGGTCTCTCTAGTTTCAAGTAACAGAGGACTTCTTCCTATTAACCAGATTCTTAGTCGGGTTAAGAACAACAATGACGGATATTAATCCCAGAACAGATTCTTTCAGAACAGAGCTTTTGTCGCCGGAGGGTGTGGCTGCTGGAACAGATGGAATGGTGACGAAGATTCCCTCGTGGCGACTGAACATGGACGAGTTCTGCTTGCCTGCTACAAACAAGAGATCTCATCATGGCATTGTTTACTACTGGAAGTCATGGAGTAAGCTTTACAAATGCAAATTTTATCAATTTCTAGTTCTTGAATAAGTAGTTCTTCTACTGTTGAGAACCTTGAGTTTAGGAGGTGAAACTAATGAGCGTTTTTATCTTGATGCTAGAGAGAGAGAGAAAGGTTGCTACGTACTATGAAAGGCAGAAAAGTCTTCTAAAAGGATTCAATGAGGTTGACTCCTACAATGAACTGGGTATTGTACCTGGACCTTTAACTGAGGTCTGTCTTGTTTTTCTCTCTCTAACAGTCACAACTTCTTATCAGACACATTCACCTAGTTTCTTATATATCAGGATGAAAAGAAGCAAGAGGCATACCGTGAGAGACTGGCAATATATGCATCCAACATAGCTAACATGGTGATCTTCGTCGCAAAAGTATACGCTTCAGTTGAGAGCAGATCACTTGCAGTTATAGCTTCAACAATAGATTCCCTGTTGGATCTTTTATCAGGGTTTATATTATGGTTTACAGCTAATGCTATGAGAAAGCCAAATCAGTATCGTTATCCTATCGGAAAGAATCAAATGCAACCAGTGGCAAGTTATCTCTATCAACAAAACTTGGCTATTCAAGTCTCTGTTGAATGAAGAATGGGAATGCTAGTCTAAGAAAATGAAGGATGGTCTATATGGAGAAATAACACACCTTATATTTTTCAAGACTAATGCTAAAAACTCTTTTACGTTGTCATGCAATTAATAAACAAGTTCACAAGCAGAAAAAAAGTCAAATCATGTTAGAACACACAGAAAAGAAAGCAAAATAGCATGGACTAACCTTTCAGATTTATGCAGGGAATCGTCGTGTTTGCATCCGTCATGGCAACTCTTGGAATACAGATATTACTTGAATCAGCTCGAGAACTTATTTCAAAGGTAAACAGGCTTGGTTATAAATTGATACAAAATAACATACCATTCATTTCTCTATACATTTGTCTATGAATCGATTGCAGGCTCAACCAGATAGAGATCCAGAGAAAGTAAGATGGATGGTCGGAATAATGTCATCTGTGACAGTAGTGAAACTATGCCTCACAGTATACTGTCGCAGATTCAAAAATGAAATTATAAGAGCCTATGCCCAAGACCATTTCTTTGATGTAATTACAAATTCAATTGGACTTGCGACTGCCCTTTTGGCTATCAGATTCTACTGGTGGCTTGATCCCCTTGGGGCTATCCTAGTAAGTTCACCACGCACAACATTCATATCTGTCTCTCTACTCACCAAACATATTTACACACCAGTTACATCTACACTTACATATATATATATTTTTTATATATAGATAGCATTGTACACAATCAGCAACTGGTCAAAGACAGTAATGGAAAATGTATGGTCGCTAATAGGGAGGACTGCCCCGCCAGACTACTTGGCTAAGCTAACATATCTAATCTGGAATCATCATGAGGAAATCAAAAACATAGATACAGTGAGAGCATATACCTTTGGATGCAACTATTTTGTGGAGGTGGACATAGTGTTGCCTGGGGAAACGTCTCTTAGTCAAGCCCATGACATTGGAGAAACACTCCAAGATAAACTTGAACAGCTTGATGAGGTTGATCGAGCTTTTGTTCATGTGGATCATGAGTTCACTCATAAGCCAGAGCACAAGCCTAAAGCTTCATAGAATGGTGAATAACCAATATGTATGTTGTATGAATTCCTGAAAGAATGGTTTGAATTGTGGTTCGCTGACTATTCAATTGTTTGAACTATACACATGCTGTACACAATTTCAGATTTCCAATAAAATGAATCTGCCCTCTTAGTTGAATGTGGATTTAAAACATAATAATATCCTTGATTGTGGATTTAAAACCAAAGCATCCAGGAAAATTTCTATCACTTCAAGTAGAGAATCCTTTCAGTGTCTAGCAACATTAGGAAAACTAATGCAACAATAGAAACGAAAAGATTAACGCTCAACAACAGGCAATAACTATCAATGACCATAAGCCAGACAAACATCCCGAGTCAGTTTCTACATAACTGGAGATCCAGGGGACTCTTAAATGATCCATTAAAGAACTACGGAAATGCCATCCTTCTTTGGGGGAAACACTACATTCTTGTTTCCAGGAAATGCATTTCGAGAGATGTCTACCAGGGACTTGAAACTGTAAGGTTCGTGCATTGAAAGCTCTGATAATACTTTTCTATTCAGTTGAATGTTCTCCTTCATCAGTCCATGCATGAAATTGCCATAATTTACCTGGTACGGTAGGCAGGGAGTCAAAAGAAACGTCAGTATCTCTACATGGGAGATTGTCCAAATATAAATAAGATAAATATGAATAACATGTTAAAGAATTCACAATTGATTGGAAGTAAGAGGCAATTGACATCGATGAAGAAAGTAAGAAACCTAAAATTTTTTTAGAACAATATGAATAGTTAACGTGTTCCCCAAGTAGGGTTTTTTAAAGTAGCTAGAAGCAACTTGATCGTGCAGAACACAAGTATAAAGTAATTATTTGACAGAAAGCAGTTTTCATTTCTCTTCAAACTCAAGCTGTTCAAACAAAACGAGGTAAAATTCACGAACCACGTGAAATGAAAATAAATTCTAGAAAGTATTAAAGGGCCAAGTCAGAAGCTAAAATTATGGGATGTGGGAATATCAAAGATGGAAATTATAACCTATAATATCAAGGGAAAAACTTAAGTGTTTGATACCTATTTCGACTATGTCATTTTGATAGCTACATGATATCCTGGTGTAAATTGTCCAAGTTTTTTGATCTTTATAGCCTTGACTCTCTTTATCCAATTGGAGAAGTCTTTTGTCCCTTGAGTAGGGGCCTTACCCTTTTGTTTTGTAAATTTCATTCATCAATGAAATTGTTTCTCTCTAAAAAAATTACGTGAGAATATCAGAGGTTCAGAGATCCCTGATTCCCATCCAAATTTTTTTTCTAAATTATTTTTCATTGTAATATATTATCATTATTTTCATAAAGGAAAGCAAATTAAGAAATTCAAAACAAAGAGTAGTTCTTAAGAGGCACAGTTACTGAAATCACAAAAACAACTGCAGTAGTCTAATGAAGAACAACATTCAAGGGAAATGCACATACCCCATGAAGGCGTGTGCCAGCATTGATGCGTTGTATCCAAAGGGAGCGCATGTCTCTCTTCTTATTGCGACGGTCCCTGTAGGAATACTGGAGAGCCTTCTCCACCCGCTCTCTGGCAATCCTTATGCAATTCTTAGCCCTGCCTCTGAAGCCCTTGGCTAGCTTAAATATCTTGTCCTTGTTCATATTTTTTTACTTGCTATGCTCTACAACTACATACTCACCAGAAATAGTAATAGATCAATCATATATGAATATATAATGGACCAGAACTTGTAAAATCGAAACAGCATCCTTACAACTGTAAAGTCGAAAACAACCAAAATATGGAAAAGCAGGAATTAACAAATAAGTAAAACTATCCAATATAAGCAACAAGTACTGAAGATGATAAACAACGTGACTTTCTAATTTTCAGCTTTAGTTGATGTCAGGAGGCAAGGTTTTGGAATAGGTTGCTAAATAAATGGCTTTATTCATCATCAAAGCCTACAGCTTCCCCAACTAATTTGCACAGCTAAAGGTGCCGAGAGATTTACTTCGGATGGATAGCGCACATATAACTTCCCTTTGGATCATTGTTCTAAACATATACTTCACTAGAGCTAGCCACTGCACTCGTAAGCTAGAAATACGCAGACCAAAAATGCTGAATTAAAACAATAATAATAATGAAATGAGACACTGTATCAAACAATCATTCGACACGGGTTGTGAACTTATCCGAGCTTACGAAGAAGGCATAACAGTGAGGCAATTCATCAAACACTAGGCAGGCAACTGACTATAGAAAATGGCCGACAAAATTGAACATCCAACCGGACGAACAGATTCAAACAACCACATGAGGTTTACAAAAACTAACTTCGATACATCAATTTAAGAGTGATGACAGTTTATTTCTACCTTATTAAAGCGGAGGACTGAAAACAGCGTTCGTTGGGGGCAAGTGGAGACGAAAGAGGACTACAATTGTAATTCGCTTATTCCAAAGATTCTGTATTCCTGAATCCAATTTTCTGTGGAGCTGCGGCGGCCGATTGATCGGATAGCGGCGGAATGGGAAGGGAGAACTTGCAGAGTGCAGCAAATGTTACGAGCTTCCGGAGATTTTTCTTTCAGAAGAATGAAGGGGGTATAGCAACTGGACCTAATGTAACGGTTCGATTATACCGAAAACCGAACCGAAACTAACCAACCGGTTCAATATATATATATATCTCGTTTTCCCGCAACTAAGTGCTGGGCTCAATTCTCCCGCCTGCTAAAGTCTTTCTCGCTTCCCCAATCCTAGAAATTGCTTCTGCTTGCCCCAAAGGTCAGTGTATGTATTCTGCAGCTTTTGATCTTAGTTATGCTTTCGAATTGGTCATTTGTAGCTATGAGCTAGAAACCTGTTAATATCCATTGTGTCGAGCCATAGGTTTTGTTTTTGTTCGTTAAAAATTTGGGTCGAAATTGTGTTGAATTTGGGGTTAGTAGGTGTAACAATATATGTTAGCGGTGGGTTTGACTGTTATAAATGGTATTAGAGTCTAGGAGTAAGGAGGCTGAGCACTGAAAGGGGTGAGCACGAGGCGGTGTGCCAACAAAGACATTGGGCTCCGAAGGGGTGGATTGGGAGGTCCCACATCGATTGGAGAAGGAAACGAGTGTCAGTAAAGACGTTGGACCCTAAAGCGAGTGAATTGTGAAATCCCACATAAGTTGGGAAGGAGAACGAAATATTATTTATAAGGGTGTGGAAACCTGGAAACCTCTCCCTAGTAGATGCATTTTAAAAATCTTGAGGGGAAACACAAAGAGGACCTCCCTAGCAGGTGTGGAAACCTCTCTCGTGTTTTAAAAATCTTGAGAAAAAGCACAAAGAGGACAATATCTGCCGTTTAAAAATCTTGAGAGTAAGTCTTAAAAGGAAAGCCCGTAAGCTTTAAAAGGGAAGTCTAAAGAGGACAATTTTAAAAATATGGAGAGAAAATCGGGAGAGACAATATTTGCTATTTAAAAATCTTGAGAGAAAGTACAATATCTACTAGTGGCTAATGGGACTATAGGGTGGAGTTCGTATAATTCAGTTTCAAATTTTTTTTTATTAAAAAAAATAGTTTATTAAATGAGCTATAATAAGGTCACGTGGATGGAATTAGATCAAATTGTCCAATAAACCATCTTAGTTTGGTTTTGAGAATGTCATCATGTTTGTTATTAATTTTGTTATTAATGGCCTGCTTGTTTAAACGGCCAAATCTAACACCTATTCCACCACTTCTCAAAAATTAGTTGGCTGTATCATTCTACCTGTAATAGTCCAAATATGCCGCTAGCAAATATTATCCGCTTTGGCCTATTACACATTATTGTTAGTTTCACAGTTTTAAAATACATCTACTAAAAGAGGTTTTCATACCCTTATAAATAATGTTTTGTTCCCCTCTCCAACCAAGGCGAGATTTCACAATTCACCCCTCTTGGGGCCAGCGTCCTCACTGGCAATACCACCAAATGATTGACTCTGATACCATTTATAATAACCCAAACTCACCGCTAGTAGATATTATCCGCTTTGGCCCCTTACGTATTGTTGTCAGTCTCACAGTTTTAAAACGTGTCTACTAAAGAGAGATTTCCACACTCTTATAAAAAAATAATTCGTTCCGACGTGGGATCTCTCACCATCCCTACTTAACCATGAAAATGAATAATCACGGTTACTATAATACTATAATTAAGCTGTCAGAATCTTCATGTGATTGACAATATATGCATACCTGCTAAAAGAATGTTAGCATGAGCATTAAACAGGGTGCATATCTTTCTAACATACTTCTCTAAACTTTCCAACTCCCTTCTTCCCCCATCTTATTGCAGTGATAAAGGTAGCCACCATTAATCACAAGGGACATAAGCTATTAAATATAATGAGATATACTCATTTGAAGTTACACTATCATCTCATATACTCACACAACTTTCATATGAAAAGTGAAATACAAGTTCCAATACAACAATCTGTCTGCATACACCCTGCCCTTTCTTTTTGTTTCTTACTATGCTCACATCAAAATAATATTACAAATAAAATTACAACAAACCGTGTTCTAGCAGCTCCGGTTTTAGTGCCCACTCGGGTTTCTGTTCCATGACAGATATGTTGGGTCCCCAAGTCGCCTGAAATCGTTAGAAAATAACATTAGAATTTATAGCGTATATGACTATAGTTCAACTAGTTAAAACATACTCTTGCCCAAAAGGCTAAAGTTTAAATCTTCTCAACTGAGAAAAAAAACGTATATAAAAATCCATAATTTAAACACAGAAGTAGTCAGTTGGGAGACCAGAAAAACATCATATGCAGTCTTCCCCTCCCATGATCAATCGACTAATGAAACGAGCAATTAGAGCAAGCCACGTAATATAGAACAAACGCTTTATCCAATT